TTTGCCTCTGTCTTTATGGCTTCTTGCTTCATTTACTGAAAGAGATCATGAGTCCCTTTCTAGAAGGATATTTATGAGGTGGGGATGCTCATTCTGTGTTTGATCTGGCATTCATTTGGTGCAGTGGTTCCCTGCCCAGAGCTGGATTCCCTAAAAGCTGGAACACAGAGCCAGGAAGCATAAGTTGAATCCCAGGAGAGCACATCTCCCCAAAGAGTCAAGATTTCTCCATAGGAAAGTTAAATGTCTTTCATGGGTCATTATGAGTCATAGTCCACGTGACTGTACTTAAAACAACATCCTAATTTTTGTCATTTTGTATTATCATCCTTCTGAAATACTTATTTTAACCTTTTCTTAACAAGGCTGCTAGGATGGTGAAGTCTTCTAATTTATAAATTTTATATAGGAAAGCCTCAACTTGTGCCTGAGATCCATTCCTAACTGTGCCTTAAAGTAAAATTTATGGGTGAGTCAGAACAGGCACATACGGTTCTTATTCAGACTTACTTTATTGCACAAAAATGTTTGAAGGCTTATGAGTGATTTAAAAGCTGCGCGTTTTGCAAGTCAGGGTGACTATGATGAAGAATTTGTTGTGCATAGGAGTTGATTTTTTTGTTTCAAAGTGAGGGCATTTTATAAGTAAATCAGACTTTGATAACCTGAGAACTACTTGTGCAGCCTTCACTAGAGGCATAAGTGAGTTTGGATATACATCTGTTGTATTTAGAATTTTTTTTTATCAGCTATCACTTTTTCACTGCCATCAGTTTGCCTACCTCCAGTGGCATTGTTTTCTAATTGTGTAAACCCTGTGGGCTTAGAGCCCAATCAAACTTGTTAGAAATTCATATAAAGTTAGTATATAGTCCAAGCTTGGATATGAGAACTGGTGCTGTCAGCAACTAAAATCTGTTAGCATGTCAATGCATGGCCACCAATACATGTCTATAATGGCCCAGGAGCCTCATTTTGCACATTTGACTAGTTCTGACCTGTCTCAGAATGGGGGCGTTGAGTTCTAGCTTGTAATTTCAGTTTCAGGCAAGCCAATTTAAGCAATGTACTCTAAACACATTTGGACAATGAGCAACTCACAATCAGATTTATAAAAAGAAAATATAGCATGAGCTAAAATTTGTTGATTATTAAAATCCATGATTACAAGTTGTGATTAATTCTGAAAATACTGTAAGCATACTGAGCATTCTGTGGTAAGTGATATTTCACCAGTCCATTGGATGACAGTAATCCTTTAGGAATTTTCTGTAATGGGAAAATATAGAAATAAAAATAACAAAAATAAAGAAACATGCCATTGAATTTTAAGAATGTAGTGGTATCTTCTATTCAACAGTGATGATTGAATTTTGTAAAATCAATGACTTATTCATTGCAAATACATTTTATAAGAGACACAAATGCAGGTTATACACATGGACTTCACCTGATGGTATGCATAGGAATCAGATTGACTACATCTGTGGAAGGAACCGCTGGAGAAGCTCAGTATCA